TCTCTCTCTCTGTATCGATACCGTACCCCTACAACACACAGATAGACATGCTATCCATTCTAAGCCAAACCTTTAAGTTTGTACATATTGTGTGTAAGCGAGAGAGAGGGGAGCTAATTATGAAAATGGTTTGTGGAAGAAAATCCAAGCTGTAGTACATGTATTACACCTTTCAAAATGTAAGTCTGAGTGTTAAGGTATCGATTGAAGCCACTGAAAACGGGAGTTAGATCTATAATTGAACTAGAAAATAAAGTCAGAAGCAACCACCCCTTCCAAGCCCTGCCCCCTGTACCACTGTACGCGTACGTCATCCAAAGACTTTCCACACACACAAAGTCTCGACGTGCACTCGCCATGTATTACGTAAGAATAATAAATATTATGAAACCTGTGTGCTGTCAATTGAATAATAATTGATACCTTACCAATGACGCTGTCCCATGCAGATTAAGTCTAAGAATCAGATACATGTACAACACTTTGCTAAGTACTAACAAAGTAGCCTACACAGCCACACATAACGTTGGACAAATTTAGCACACAGAAAAATTAGAAACATTTGGAAGCCGTTTTTTTCACATGTCGCAGAAACAAAGACTAGGCCTATGGGTTTTTATACTAGCCTACCTGTTCTGTCTGTCTGTCTGTCTGTCTGTCTGTCTGTCTGTCTGTCTCTCTCTCTCTCTCTCTCTCTCTCTCTCTCTCTCTCTCTCTCTTTTTCTCTCTCTCTGTCTCTCTCTTTCTCTGCCCCTCTCCTCATATGAAAAGTAATTATTGACTAATTATGACTAAACCTGTCCGAAAGCTTACAATGTCCCTTTGACTAAACCTGTCTAAAAGCTTACAATGTCCCTTTTTACTCTTATGCTCCTGTTCCCGTTAGGCTCTGGTGGGTGGTTGGAAGGCACCACTGATAGGTACTACTTCTTTACTTTCCCCTCTGTTGTTCTGTCCATCTGTCTTACTTTTTACCAGCACTAAATGACCATTATTGTGTCGATGTGCTTCTCTTTACTCTAACAAACAAACAAACAAAAACTTTACACTCATATTCCCTTTACCTTCCTTGAAGATTTGTGCCCTGGTTCTGAGTGTGCTGGCCTTGCTTCACCTTACCCTGGGGGATGAGGAGACTGAGCATGAGGGCATGATGGCGTCACCGGCTTTCTACGTCTCCAAGGCTGTATGGGGTGTCACCTTTGTAAGTTTGTTTTTTCATGTTTGTTTGGAATTTGTTTTTTTTGTTGATCTGAACAGGACTACTGTGTTGATAGTGCCATGAAACATGTAAGCTCCTTTGAGCTTGATCAACTTTTGTTGTAAGTAAGTAAGTAAGTAAGTAAGTTTATTCACTGTTTAGGGCCATTGGCCCACATCACATCATATAAAACACTCATTTGATGTTGTTGTTGTTATCGACCCAGCAACAGCTGGACTCTCACCTTTCTGTCCAATGCCATGTAGTGATAAGTGCAGAAATACTCATTTGATAAATAATAAAGTTTCCATTATGAAAAAGTACAGGTTGTGCACATATCTCTTATCATCATGGGTCAAACATTGCATATTTCTGTCACCGGGCAACTTATGTTGATAGTGCATGAAAAGATTATAACTCTTCTAAGCTTGTCCAAATTGTGTTGATAGTGCCATAAACATGAAATGGAGTGTACATGACATTCAAATAGTCAAATCCGTATGATCCATTCGATCAAATACTCAAAGCCCCCTTGTTTGGTTTTTTTTTTTACTTATTGACTTCAGTACTAAAGTAATGGTGTGCTGTGACTATTGATTGAGTGTATACGTTTATGTCAGTGTGTGCTTTGGTCATAAAAGCTTACTGTAGTATTCACGGCGGGGCATCAGTATTGATATACTGATATAACTCATACAGGTAATTTCCATTGGGTCATAAAGTGAACACTAATTAAAGTTTATTTGTTCTAACAGTATTGATAAGACTATAAAACCCTTATAAAATATAGTTTTCGTCAGTGGAATATATGATTGTGATCCATATCTGTGAAGTGAACTCCCTTCGTGATGTCATACTATGCAGTCAATGCTCTTATTTTATTATCATTTTTTGGTGCATATGTATGTGTTTTGTGTGTGCATTGAATTTGTAAGAATACTTATTTTTGTGTGTATGTGTTTATCTATGTTTAGTACCAGTGTTCTTAGTTGAATAAATGTGTCTTTGTGTGTGTGTGTGTGTGTGTGTGTGTGTGTGTGTGTGTGTGTGTGTGTGTGTGTGTGTGTGTATTGGAGAGACTGCATGTGTGTGTTAGTGTAGTGTGTTTTGGTGCTTGAGTTGACATGTATAAATAGTAGAAAGAATAATGAATCATCCTTTTTTTGTCATCACAACTTTCTTTTCATCTGGGCACAAAGTATACTGTGACATCCGTGGTGGATTTGTTTAGAGTTTAGACCACTGTTCACCAATCTGAGCAATATCACCCAGTTGTGGATGGTTTTGTAGTTTTGGTGGGAGGGGGGATCACCTGGATAGTGACAGGCATTATTTAATGCCACATTTGGAACTACAATTTGTACATGTAGGTGGGCAGTACAAAAATGGTAGCCTCATAAAGGTGGCAAAAGTGGATGCTGGTTATGAAAAAGTAGACAAGCGCCGGGTTAGACCATATGTCAGTCATTGTGGTGAAATCAGGCGCTCATCAAAATAATGAAACTGAAGAAACTGGCATTTTTTCACTGGGTTTGGCAATTTTTATTAAAATTTTGTTTTTTGGCTTGATGTCCATTTGAGAACACATTTTGTGTGGATTTTACTGAATTACGTTGATTAAAGGCCCAAAAACTGTAAATTGTCAGTTTCCACGGACTCCCAGGCTATGTAAATGAACAAACTTTGGCAGCCGTTTTCTCACTTATTTTACCTCTGAAACTAGGCGACCCCCACCTCCTTTAATATCCAATATCTCGACTTGTATTCCAGATAAATGGGTATTTTCTCTGTCCTCCTTGTCCTGATGTTGTATCCCACTGAGTGTGGGTTAGCCCTGACAGGCATGGTTGAAGCAGCCTATCTCCTTAATAGTTAAAAGTTGTGTGTCTGGAGATGTAAAATATTGACACCAGTGCATACGGTGAATATGTTTTTGGCTTGGCCTTTATCCTGTACATCCAGTGCAGGGGGGGAGGGGGGGGGCATTGTTTAAAGGAGGACACTCGTGCATAATAATATACTCCTCAGTTTGTTGGTGGTTAGAGGGCAATACTGGTATGTTCATCTTAATAGTAAGGAAGTAAGTAGGTAAGTTTATTCAGTGTTTAAGGCCACTGACCCACGTCACATCATATAAAACGCTCATTTGATAAATAAAGTTTCCATAATGAAAATGTACAGCTTGTGCACATATCTCTTTTCATTAGTCAAACGTTGCATAAATGTCACTGGGCCTAGTGAGGCTGGGAGGAATTAACAATTTCCTTTGATGGACAAAGTGTGAACAATAGAAAATAAAATGAAATTCATCTTCAATTTCATGAGAGTTACACCTCTCACATAAGGGCGAATTTGTTAATTTCCACTGATAGAGATTGTTATTTAATGGAAGACTGAGTTTTAACAAAGCTATGACTCTTCTGCCCAATATCGGGGTAGGTTGATGATATACATATTCAGCTGTTTCTTGAAACGGAATTGTAAGAGAGAATAAATTATACTTGCGACAGACTTCTTCCTCTATGTTCTGCACAGAATGATCAACAATTCTACTTTTTACTTCACTGAGAAAGAGTCTAGTACTTCCAACACTTTGAGAAAACCAGGCATATCCAAAACCCAGGGAAAATAATAGGTTTTTAACTTCAGTAGCCTAGTTGACTCTGCCCAGTTCACAGGAATTATATAATTGCATGTAACATTTCTTTAGATATCTGTCATTCTCTATGTGTATAAGTCTGCACCAGAATTCAATGACACAATGCATGTAATCAGAACATAAATTTGTTCTTCCTACTTCTCTTGGAACTAAACATTTGGGTGTAGCTTTGCCAAGACCCAAAAAGGCTTTCCGGAACTGTACCTGAACATTATCAATCACGTCACAATTTTTAGTACCCCAAATTTCAGAGCCATAAAGCAGCATTGGTTTAATCTTTATATCAAAAGTTCATCTTAATAATAGTAATATATGACATTTATGTAGTGCTTTACCTCTGTTAAATCACACAGGCTCTGAGCGCTTTACAATACAACAGTAACTCAGTAACACTTAAACAGTACTTCTTATTATCCCTCTGTTGTTTCTGTCTGTACCTATTCTCAGCACTAAGCAACCATTATTGGCTGGCTCTGCTTTTTTTTTTTCACTCAAATAGAATTTTTTATAACACCACTCTGTTCCTGCAGCTGTATGCCATTGTCCTGATGGGGCTGTGCCAGAGGTCAGGGGTAACGTCGCCATGCATCATCTTCATCTTTTGGATCATCGCAATTGTGGCACATGTTGTGCCTGTCTACACCTCGATACTGAAGAAGGTGAGAATATTCTACAACCACTTTGTCTTGAAAAATTGGTAAAAACCCTACTGGTGTAAGCTGACAAAACGCTTTTTTTTCTTCACAGCAGTGTCGAAAAAAAGAGGTTTTTTGTCTGTGTAACCATTTTAAAAGAGAGTGATTCCGAAATTTGAATCTAATTTAGTCACAAATTCACATTGATTTTTTCTCATAAGTAGGGTAAATGATCAGGCTTTCGATTTAGCAAATAAAAAATGTGGGCTCCAAAATGGACAAAGGTGTTTTGTCAGTTTAAGGCTGCTTAGGACTGTTAAGTAAAAGTTTAAAAACATACTGCAAGAAGAAAAAATAAATTTTCTCATTCTTGTGTTGGTTTCTTTTTCTTGATTTGTTTTTTCATCATCTGCGTCAGAGCTATGAGGAGCACCTGAGGAGTTTTACCCTTGTTTGCTGTGAGCTTGCAGCACTGGTGTTTGGCATGGCCTTCTTATGGATCGGTGACTCAGACGTGGTTCTGACGAAGCCCTCAATCACAGGGGTAAGTAACCAATGTTCGTGATGTAGTGTTTAAGTTCTATGCTTTTGTATGAAGAAGATATGAGTTCAATTCCAAAGCGGGGAAGTTTTATATTGAGAATCTTCATCTGTCTGCTGGGATCTTGTATCCCTTTCACTCCAGATTGCTCATGGTAGGCAAGGTTGAAGCCGCCAGCTTTCTGAATAAGCAAAATTGTGTCTATGAGGACAAATAGCTTTTACAATTACAGATACAATTTCTGGAGAAATCATAGCCTTTTATCTTTATAACTTTCAATAGCTACATATTTGCTTTCACTGAATTTCTGGATGGAAAAGTGTTATGAATCGTATGCGTAAACTTGACTATAGCTGTTGAGATGTAATAAGCCCAAAATTAAATTTGAGGGGGGGGGGGGGGGGGCAACAGTCAATGCTATTTCCTAATATTTGGTATTACCTGCATGTGCTTGAGAAATATTTTGTCAAAATTCAAATTCTAAGTATGTAAAAAAAGCAAGAAAAGAAAATGTCCTGTGCCCAAGGCCTATCATATTCTCGTTGCTATGTCCGTAGCTTTGCTCTCCACGGCAGCTTAGATTTATGACCACCACATGGCACTATTTCTTTGCCTTTTACCATTTTTTCTAAATGTGCATAAAATATGCATTTGTTTTTCTTCTGTTTCGCCTAGACTCCGTGCCCATCAGTGAGTGCCTCATATGTCTCCCGACTCACTTACGCGTGGGTCTTCAGGTAAGCTGTTGTTTTTAACACTTTGCCTCCTACACTCTCTTCCTGGAATTGTCCTGGGGGTGGGGGTGGGGAGGGGGGGGGTCATGTATGTGTTTGTATATGTGTGTGACATGTAACTCGAGGGACAGATAGTCGCAGATAGGAAGCAAAGTAGACAGCAAAAGATCTTGTCAATTTTTCTGTGTTTGAGCATTTAATTGGCTGCTTGCACAGTATACTTCCGCTGAAGCCTAGAATGTTTCTTAGTATTCTTGGGTCTACTGGGGGTAATAATGGTTATAAAGTGCATTGGGGATGGATAGGCATTATTATTATTATTAATATTATTATTTTCTTTCTCCACACTGATTCTATTCATAATTCTTATGTTTTCCTTGCACTAATTGAACATTATTTCGTTGATATATTTCTCTTTCCTCAAACAAAGAAATTTCATACTTGAAACTCGTTTGAAATATCTCTCTTGAATCCAGTATAGAAACTGTGTTGTCAGTTATGGTGCCAGCAATGACTTTTGTGTCTTCTGTCTGCCCAGCATGGTGTACTCAGGCTACAAGAAACCTGTGACTGCGGACTGTGAGTTTGACTTGCCGCCCCACATGCAGTGCCGCAACATATATCCGGGATTTATAAAATCCTGGACCAAAGAGCTGACCAGATCCAGGGCTGTGAACAGGTATAATTGTGCGTTTTGTCTCTCGTTATTGTTCAGATGCCGCTTACAACTCTGAACGCTTATTTAAGAGGCGGGATGTCCAAATGTAATGTCTATCTCCAACTGGACCAAGTCAATTGGATGGAGAACCTTACAAACTTCCCATAACAATCCGTGTTCAAGAACGCCATGTTGGGGATTCAAACCAGGAGAGTCTGCTCTGTAGTGTTTTGCCTCTCGTAAATTATGAATCACTTAAAATGAATGTATGTTAGGCAGCGTGGTGAAATCGGGTATTCGTCAAAATAATGAAAGTGAAGAAACTGGCATTTTTTAGCTGGTTTATGAATTTTTATCAAATTTTTTATTTTTAGCTCAGCACCTTCCATGTCCATTAAAGAACACATTTTTGTGTGGATTGTTCTGAGAAACACAAAGACATAAAAGTGTGAATTTTCTGGTTTCGCGGACTCTCAAGCTAAGGAATTTAACTAAACTTTGGCGGCCATTTCCTTGCTAATTTTACCACTGAGACCGGTTGGTGACCCCCTCCTCCTGCAATCGCGAATATCTCGACTTGTATTCAAGATAAATGGATATTTTTTTTCATTGAAAGCAAGTACAAATTTAAGAGCTTTAAGGTGATACCAATAACTCCACATGCCCAAAAAATTGACGAGTGCCTGATTCCACTGCGGCGTGACTCATATTTCAGTCTTCAAATTATCCAATCTATGAACATTATTCTGTTAAACTGATAAGAATATATATTAGTTTAATTTTGAAACAATCTGCAGTGCTTTCCTTAGCTCTTAAATTGTATCAAGATTCGTGTAATCCCTATACTGCTTATTTTTGCAAACATTTTTATTTATAGTTTTCTTTTCTTTCTTGTTTCGTCCAGCATTGTTTACTTCTTGTTTTACTTTTTTTTTCGTTTTATCTTCTTCTTCCATTTTCCTTTCACCTGTCTTCTTTTCTTCCTTTCTCTGTAATATGAACACTGAGTAATGTGGACCTCAAACTTCATGTGTCTTGCAAGGGGTTGGAGGGTACCACTGGATCGTCTTTTTTTTTTCGCTCTGTTGTTTCTGTCTGTCTGTGTCTGTTTTTCTTTTCCCCCACTCTAAATTATCATTATTGTGTTAATGTGCTTCTCTTTACTCAAAGAAAAGCCGAACAAATGATTTATTGATTCTTTATTGGGGTTTTTTCTCCTAGAACACAAGAAAAAGGCAGTCGACACATCTACACTAACGGTGCCACCAGTCTCCTGGGTAGTGTGCAAAAAGGTGATGAGGTGGAACATAATGAGAAGACTCCGCTGCTGTCGAAGATGAAAATTGATGGAGAGAAAGAAGAGGAAGTTCAGGCGAAATGGCCTCAAAAGAAGCCTTCGTTGTACAAAGTTTTGTTCAAGGTGTTCTACTTGTCCTTGTTCAAGTCCCAGATGGTTGGACTCATGGCGGACATGTTGCAGTTTGTGAACCCGTTGCTGCTTAAGTAAGTTCTTGGCTTTTTATTAACCTTTGTATTTCTTTAACTCTATTCATGGGGGGTAAACCCACTATGCCGGGCCCCTTCTTTGGTGCTAAATCTAAAAATGACAAAAATGTCACTAAATGGGTCATTAAACCAAAACAAGTGAACTTATTTTGATAGTTCTTCATCTAAAGAATGAACTCTCAATAAGAGAGACTTGTTTTCGGCAATTGCAGAAAAGTAATTTGATGTCGAAATCATTGTAAAGGAATGCGCCCGATTCACTGGCACAACGGTTTTGACTGCGAGCGGTTTGCTGGAGATAAAGAGTTAAAAATATTTTTTTAATCGGTAGGAAATCACACATATGTACACTGAAAGCATATGAATACATACATATATCAGAAACAGATATTATAGAAGAAGTGGGACAGCAGCTAGCTACCTTGAGGGCTGGTGTGTCGTTACACGTCAACCTCGGAGTCAGAGATGACACCTCCAGGTATCCAGGCATAAATGAAGTATTCTTTTACATACCAGGCTATGGGTGGTTGGCGGGTGCTCTGGTGTGGTTTGCTCCTCCTTTCCTACCAGACATCTATCGTCCTGTTCTCTCCTCCTTCTTTTTTGTGTTTGTTACTCTCTTGTAATACCTCTAATCTTCGGCGCTTGTATGACCTTATTGTGTTGCAAGTGCCATAAAACTCTTACTAAAACTAAAACGTACCATGCAGTCATTTCAATGCATTATGTGATATTTAAAAAACTTGGAGAATCTACAATGTAGGAGTTTTGGCTATTTGTGGACGTAGAATATTTTAGAAATTGTTTTGTGACACTATGTCGAAACATTTCCCAAGGGTGTCAACCCTTGTATTTGGTCAACCCTTATTTACAGTTTCTTATTAGTAACAATTTGTGAGGCATCACAGTAAAGTCAGACTCAGACGCTCGTCAACATAATGAAATCAAAGAAACCAGCATTTTTCAGACCGTATGGCAATTTTTATCGATTTATTGTTCTTTGGTTGAACACCTTTAATGTCCATTTTAAAACATATTTCTGTCTGGATTTTACTGCAAAATGTTGATTAAAGGCGCGAGCGCCGTAAAACCTCTATTAAAGAAAAACCAATGTCAATTTTCAGTTTCTGAGGGCTCTCCAACTATGGAAGTCACCTAACTTTGACGGTGATTTTCTCGCTAACTTTACCCCTGAAACTAGGCTGCCCTGGCCTCCTTCAATTTGCAAATACATGTGGGTATATTTATTTTATCAAAAGATAGACAAATGAACAAGCTTTAAGATGATACCAATAGCTCAACATGCCCAAAATTTGATAAGCGATCGATTCCAGGATGTCGTGACACATTTGATTGTGATATGGATTGCAACAATCTTCTTTTCAGAGCGATGATCAATTTTGCAGAAAACAAAGAAAGTTACCCTCAGTGGCAGGGCTATGTTATGGCGGGATCTTTGTTTCTGGTGACCTTATCCATCTCAGTGATGACCAACTTTCGGTTCTATACTGCTTGGAACATTGGCACACAGATCAAGACAGTGGTGACTGCTGCTGTTTATAAGAAGGTACGTTTATCAGCAAAATTGAGCTGACATTACTGAAATGTTCTTTACACATGTCTACAAGCTGTTATGGAGACATTTCGCGACCCCTGTGCTTTCTTGGCCTATCTCCGGTTTTTTTTAGAAATTGAAAATGTGACTTCTCTTTAAGCTCACTCTTAGTTATGAACTGTTTTCACTGCTATTAAAGATAGAGATAGGACAAGGAAGCACTCAGGTCGCGATTTGCTGACTTTAAACCTTTGAGCCCTTACCGTCTGAGGCTACCGTGCCACTCTGCCTGAGCTCCTGAGTGATAAATCACTAACATTCATATGATCGCCAGAATCAAATTCCATATCCCATTCAGGGCTGTCCTTGTCATTACCAGCATCTAATTTAGAAAGGTCCTCAAAATAATCAATAACGTCTTGTGTAGTCAACACTGTTTTTCGTACGCATTGTCTCAGGCGGGCCGAGATGGGGATGGGGTCTCTCTCACTGCTGTACCCGGTAGCTAGGCTTACGGGCAGTTTTACGCCCCCCCCTGTGTAGGGCTCAAAGGATTCACATGTAAACATTAACTTGTTGATAAAGGTACACAGCAGTGCATTATTCCACCTGGACCTGGAATTCTGTTAGACGGAAGTCTCTTTCTCTTGATCACTCTCAGTGACGCTTGTATACCTAGTCAATAATATATGAGGCGTTGTTGTGAAATGAGGGGCTCATCAAAATAATGAAATCAAAGAAACCGGCATTTGCCTGGCTGTTGAGCAATTTTTTTTCTTTATTTTTTAATTTTTTTTAGCTCAACACCTTGTTAAGTCCATTTATAAACACATTTCTATGTAGATTTTTACTGAAAAACGTTGATCGAAGTCACAAAAAATGTAAATTTGCAGTTTCCAAAGACACATGTTAAATGTTCATCATAATAACAGAATTTATCTGCTTTTCGTCGTCTTCGGAAACAACTGTTAATGATTTTGTTTCTTTACTCATTCTTTGATTTTATTAAAGCCTGAGTGCATTGTCAATTTGAATTTTTTTATCTTAATAGGGTACACCCATATATTTTTTTGCTGTCGCAGAAAACATTAGAAACTGTTTGACTCTGCTTTAATAATATTGATAAATTCCATTTGTATAGCACATATCCCTACTCTACACCAAGCTCTATGTGCTTTACTATTTCTATCAGTACCCTTGTAGATCCTAGAACTCTCAGAAACATTCTTGGCTTCCCAGTAAGCATACAGTTCAAGCAGCTGATTAATCACTCAAATACTAACAAACTGACAAGATCCTTTGCTGTTTATAGCTGGGTACCCATTCCCACTTAGATGAAATGAGGATAATTTGTGTAAAGTCCTTTCTCAAGGACACAATGTCAGGCACCTGACAGGGTTCAAACCCATGACCTGACCTCTAGAACAACACCACTTTGCACGGTGGTTTGGAAGTATCCGAGTCGCTTCTCATCTCAGGACGACAATAATTTGTGTGTGTATTCAGTATTTCTTTTCTACTCCCGCTCCAGGCAATGACAATGAATGCCGAAGGTCGACGCCAGTTCACGGTGGGCACGATGGTCAACCTGATGGCTGTGGACTGCCCGAGGTTTCAGGACGTGAGCCTCCAGATGTATGTGATCTGGTCCTTCCCTATTCAGATGTCCCTGGCTATGTACATGATCTATGACTGTCTGGGATTGGCTTTCGTTGCATGTATGCACTTTTTGTTTTTAATTTTAACATGTTTAACAACCTAATTATATGTCCAAGACAATCACCTGTACAGATGGTCACTTCCCAAAGTTAACTTTGTTTTGTTCTTCATAGTAGCTATGCAATACCACAGAATTAACTGAGTGATGCTGATTTTCTAAGTAAATCCAGTAATAAGTAATTTTAGAATTATCTAGATATTGCACTATATATTATAAAAATGGTCTTAATAATGATAATAACAATAGACAGCATTGGTATAGCACAAATCCCTGCTCAACAGAAAGCTCTATGCTCTTCACAATTAGACAATTCAATCTGTAAAGTTTGAGTCCATATGTTTCTATGGGTCCAAAAAAGTACAGGTTTTTTTTTCATAGCCAGTTTGCACATCTGTAACTGTCTGATGACAGGATGGTGCTGTGCTAACAGGTTTAACATGCACGTTTTCCTTTTTTTGTGGCAAGAATTATACAGTTTTCCATTACATCAGTGTGGACTCTTGTTCAGACAATTATTTGGGGTCCAAGTTTCATTCATTGTTGCAAGGGTTATGAGAAGAATTTGTGGTTGATGAAATGGAGATCAGTGAGATCCTTGCTACATTCTGTTTTAATCATGTACATTTACTAAAATATAGAACAAAACAATCCCACATTGTTTTTGCTGGTACCATCTGTTTATTAGTATCATGTTTTCCTTTGTGACAACATTTTCATTTTTTTCTTTATTAACAAAATGTTCATTGTCCTTGGTTGCAACATTCATCTGACACCTATCACAGGCATCAGTGGTGTAATAGTTACGCTCGTTTCTGCCACATGCAGAAGACATGAGCTCAATTCTCTTGACGGGGAGAATTTCTATTGAGTATCTCCTTTTTTCTGCTGAGAAGTTATATGTTTCTGAGCCGACGTTGGCCCTGACAGGAAGGGTCAAACTGCCTGCGTCCTAAATAATATAGAATAGTGTTGATGGGGGCCTTAAAATTTTAATGTATGCAAATAAATAGACATCCATTCGGAGGTTCTTCATTTACTGTGGCACTGATATTTCACCAAGTTGTTGCACCAAAGAAAATGAACTTTATTCTTGAGCTCAGATATTTCTTCTGGATATTTCCCCTGTATTGAAGACAAAAAAGTCAAATAACAGAATTGACCACTTGTTTGTCCTGAGGTCAGGTGGTACACTTACTTCTTTTCTTTCATAAAGTTCCTTCCATTAAATTTTTTGTCTTTAGGCCATTCCCAAAGGGGGGACATTAACATGTTCTTTTGCACAGTAGAATTGTAAATGGGCTGACTCATCAATGTCATGCTCATAACTGTGCCTGAACTGCAACAGGGAACTGCTGCTTTTTCTTTCCTAATCCTTACTGTCGTCATTTTTCCTCTACTTCTTTTGTATGTTTGTCACACTCTTGTGACCCGCTATTTGCGGGCTGCCTTGATAGTCGAAGCAGACTTTGTGCTGTTGAAGCTAGAGAGGTGAGCAGAGTAAGCCTAATTCCCTGTAAGGACTTCTCTGCTGACATCCACCCCTTGACGCTCATATGACCTTATGCAGTTGGGAGTGCGGTAAAACCTCTACTAAAACTAAACTTAAATTATTGTCCCTTTTCTAGGCCTGGGGCTTTTGCTGCTGTTGATACCCATAAATGCTAAGATCACCACGTTGACCAAAAGGGCCCAGGACAAACAGATCACCATCAAAGACACCAGGATCAAACTGATGAATGAGATTCTCAATGGCATTAGAGTGAGTACTTTGCTGTTGTGTAATTGGTGTGTGGTGTTGAATTTTGTTTGTGAGGTAACTGAATTCTGTCTTTGGGACTATTCTACTGATGTAGAGAAGCTGACGAGGGTTAGGAGTGTTGGTATAGATGTTAAGTTACTGGGCTGTTAGTTTAGTTTTAGTAGAAGGTTTTACGGCGCTCGCAACTGCATAAGGTCATGTGAGCGCCAGAAGATTAGAGGTGTTACAAGAGAGTTACAAACATAAAAAAGAAGAAGGGGAGATAAGGACGATAGATGTTTGATAGGAAAGAAGAAGCAAACCACACCAGAGCACCCCACCCGCCAACCACCCACATTGGACTGTTAAAGCATGTGTTTATCTGTTTTATGGTAACCAAAGGGTATTAAAGTTAAAGGGTTTTCTGTTGTTTGGTCAACGAAGGAAGTAGTAAAAATAACTGTTTTGCTGCTGTATGATCAGTGGGAAGTTGAAATAGTGAATGTTCTACTGTTGCATGTTGAATGAGTGATGTTGGATTTGGATTTTTTTACCGTTGTGCTTGTAGTAGGCCTACGCACATGGGGTAAGATGGAATATCTACAGGTTTTTTTTCTGGAAACATCAGGTCCTTCATATCTTTTTAATGATATATTTCCCACCCGACTGCCCGTTGTGTGACTGCCAGGATGAAACAGAATCACACCACCTCTTTACCTGTCCTGCACTAAGCGACCTACGCAGTATTTACCTACCTGCCTGCCTCTCCAGTCATCGGAAATACTCTGTACGACAAACACAGCTAATAAATACCTGTAAATTCTTTGCCACATTGACAGGATGAAGGGCTAGAACTTAAATGGCCACTGGATCAGTAAAGTAAAGTAAAGTAAAGATATGTTTAGTTTAGTTTGAATTAAGAGAAACTTATCAACATGACAATGGTCATATAGTGCTGGGGGGGGGGGGGGGGGGAGCAAAATAAACAGACAGAAACAGCAGACAGGAAGAAGAAAATAATATGTTTAACATTTTTTTTGTTCGCATTTTTTTCTTCATCAAAGTACATATATTGATTTCATGAAATTAATATCACTGTCTTTAGTGGTGCACAATAATATTCTTTTGTAGGTACTGAAGCTGTATGCATGGGAAAGATCTTTTGAGGATAAAATCGGTGACGTCCGTAAACTAGAAGTGTTGCAGCTCAAGTGGGCAGCAATCTACCAGTCACTGAGTGTTCTCTGCTGGCTTCTGTCCCCTGTGATGGTGAGTCCCACATTTCTTTTCCCCACTACTGTTTTCTCCCTTAAAGTTAAATGAATAATTATTTGCTGGGTTAAAGATTTTGAAATGTTGCAGAAGTACCATTTTCAGTCATGTTAGCTGAATCTCACTCGTTTGTGCAAGTCATTACTGGGAAATACAGTGGAGTCTGCTTAAACCAAACATGGTTATTTTGAAAACAGCAGAAAACGGAAAGGAAATAAAATCCCCAATTTTTTGTCTTCTCAATTTGAGCAACCTCTCTAATCCAGAAACTCAGCTCAGCCAAGAAAATCCAGCAGTCCTGCTGATTTTGGTTTAAGTGGACGCAAACATATTATTTATCTTCATATATGAGTTTTTTGTATGATACGTAAAAATGAACACTGTATAGATTTTATCCTTCGACAGTAATTTCCTTCCGTCCTTTGGTACCTTTGTCTGGATTAACACTGAAAGACTTGAAAAGCCTTCATTTGAAAGTAATAAAATTTCCATCACAATTAATTAATGATAGATTTGAAAGTCCGCGTTTTGAATTGACTTTTATTAGAAAAGGTTTGTAAGTCTGCCATCTGAATTTACTTTTTAGACTCTGTAGAGTCTATGATCAAGAGTAACTTTTGACAGACTTGAAAGTCAAGGATCCAAATTAAATTGAAAGTCTGCAGTCAAAAGGAATTTTTGAAAACTTCCAGTCCAGTTTATTTTGATGCATTATGGAAATTGATCTTTAGTGGATAGAAGAAAAACTGAAGTGCCAGTGCTTTTTAACAATCATTTGTCTCATTAGTGATCCTGACTACCTTTATTGTATGTGTCCTCGGGTGACCTTGATCACCTTATTATTTTTGTCTTATGTTTTCAGGTGAAATTGATCTCCTTTTTTGTTTATATCTTTAGGTGAAATTGATCACCTTTATTGTTCATGTCTTATTTCTTCAGGTGAGATTGATCACCTTTATTGTTTATGTCTTATATCTTCAGGTGAAATTGATCACCTTTATTGTTTATGTCTTATATCTTCAGGTGAAATTGATCACTTTTAAGTTTATGTCTCATGTCTTCAGGTGAAATTGGACTGCTTTATTGTTTATGTCTTCAGGCAAATTGATCACCTTTATTGTTTATGTCATATTTCTTCGGGTGAAACTGATCACCTTTATTGTTTATGTCTTCAGGCGAAATTGATCACCTTTATTGTTTATGTCATATTTCTTCAGGTGAAACTGATCACCTTTATTGTTTATGTCTTCAGGTGAAATTGATCTCCTGTATCATTTATGTTTTATGTGTTCAGGCGAAATTGATCACCTTTATTGTGTATGCCTTCAGGTGAAATTTGATTACCTTTATTACATAATATGTACTCAAGTGACCTTGATCACCTTTATTGCGAATGTCCTCAGGTGACCCTGACTGCCTTTATTGCTTACGTGGTCATCTCCGGGGACTCTCTGACCCCGACCAAAGCCTTTGTAGCCATGAGCGTGCTCAACATCATCCGACAGCCCATGATGGCTCTGCCACAGTTAGTTGCCGCTGCTGTGCAGGTAAGGAAATCTGGTAGATCATCACAATTTGTGTAAATGTTCTGTAGATGTCATTACAGGTGGTTGGGGGGGTGCTCTGGTGTGGTTTGTTCCCTCTTTCCTATCAAACTTCTATCGTTCTTATCTCTCCTCCTTCTTTTTTGTGTTTGTTACTCTCTTATCACACCCCTGTTCTTCGACACTTATATGGCCTTATTGTGTTGCAAGGGCCGTAAAACTCTTACTAAAATTAAAATATCTATCGTCCTCCTCGCTCCTCCTTCTTTCATTTGTATGTTACTATCTAGTAACACCTCTAATCTTTTGCACTTATATGATACATTTGTGTTGCAAGTGCTGTAAAACACGTACTAAAACTAAAGTTTGAGCTAAAGAGTGATATTGAGGGTGGTTGGTAGGTGCCACTGATAGGTGCCACTGATAGGTCCTACTTGTTTTCTTTCTCCTCTCTCTGACTCTCTGTCTCTGTCTGTCTGTCTGTCTCTGTCTCTCTGTCTCTCTGTCTGTCTCTGTCTCTGTCTCTCTCTCTCTCTCTGTCTCTCTCTCTCTCTCTCTCTCTCTCTCTCTCTCTCTCTCTCTCTCTCTCTTGTCCACCAGCTAATAGAAAGCACCAGTTTTGTTTTTTTGTCTGTGCTGTGGGTGAATCTGTAAGCTACTGCTTTTCAGTAAACATCATACTGATAATAATAGCAAATGCGTTTATGGAGTGCATATCTACGCTCTGTAGCATGCTCTATGCACTTTACAATAATTATTACCTCACTTGACCATCGAACACTCAGACACATTCTCAGCTTCACATGAACCATACTGTTAAAGCTGCGGATTACACATGCTAAAACACCAAAAAACTTACATCTTTTGCTGATGGTTTATACTTCATGCTTTTGCCTGAGTTGTTTCCATCTATATGTATTACTTTTCTCACAATAAATGACGATTACTCTGTTGGCCAGCTTCTCTTTACTCAAGAAAACTTTGCACTGTGAAATGCTAACTTGGACCTAACTGTTTGTTTGTTTCCTCCCCATCAGTGTCATGTGTCTATGGAACGTATCAGGAATTATCTCGCTGGAGAGGATTTGGAAGAGCCGGATCCCACTGTAGCTTCTCCTGGTAAGTTGATATATATATTTGTGAATCAATTTCCTCATGTCACTCTTGCGTTTTGTCTCATGATATGGGTTTAAAAATATTATTTTGTGTATTAAATAGTTTTCAACAAACCAGTTACATGCTTAGAACATGACATGGTTAATTTATATTTACTGTGTGCTTACTACTGATCATTTCCTAAGCTTTTATTTTATTTTTCTACTCTGTAACAGTTTTGTAAACTTATTTATTTTTATTCTTTAAATGTTCAAACAAAAGTAAAAAGTTAGGTTTATTTCCCATCCATCCTCTATGTGGAAGCATTTCAGAAGGTCCTCTGTTGTTTCTGTTTGTCTGTCTGTCTCCCTTCTTCCAAGCACTAAATGACCATTGACAGTATCACTGTGTTTCTTCTGTACTCAAATAAACAAACAAGAATTATTCGATGGCCTCCTCAGAGTACCCACTGACCATGGAGTCTGGTACCTTTTGTTGGGACCGGTATCTACCACCCACTCTCAAGAAGTGAGTTCAGTAAATTCCTATGTGCGTTACATTCTAGCTCAATCCATGCCCATGTGTTCATGTATGGTAGTATTTAGTTTGGCTTTTTGTCTCTGTCTCCTTCTGTCTTTTTTACTCTAACCTGAGAACCAAATTCTCAGCCTTCAAAATTGTCTTTTTTTTAAAAAACTAAGCTTTAAAATCAATAGAACACAACCCAAAGATATCCTTTTAGAGAGTATTTTATATCTGACTATGTCTTGTTGAGTTATGCTTGATATTTTGGGCTGGTAATTCTAATGTGTAAGGCTTGTGTTGTCTGTCCTTACCAGGTCAATTCTAGGTTCATCGTGAAAGATACCAGATTTATTTCCCTTGTTATGTCTTTTAAAACAGGTGTGCGTTGATTAGCAAACTGAGTTGTCTTTATCATGCACAATTCGTTTCTTTTTAAGTTGATCAGAAGAGGATATCAATGTCTTGTCCTTATTTCCTTCCCTATTTAATATAATGTTCTTTTCTTGATACTGTGTTGTGATGTTTGCATTTGTATACTCCATTTCAACTGAAGGGTGTATACTAAGTCAAAGATAAGATGTGATTTATTTATCTTCTGTGGAAGAAATTAACATTATTCTCTCTCCTGCCTCTTGAGCACAAAATGTCCTTACAAGACTTCATAACAGAAATTGAAATTCTCCTTCTTCCATGCTCACCCTCACTCATTACTAACACCTAACCTGAAAACCCAAAGGACAAACAAGGAGCATATCGTTGGCTAGCTGTCCAAATGTATTTAGCCCAAAATTTTGAACACAAATTTTTATTGCTGTGTTTTTATCCTCTGGTATTGATTTCATGAGCTTCAGAAATATTTTGTTGAAATTCAGATTCTTAATGTTGAAAACATGCAAGAAAAACATATATAAAATAGGTGTAATTGTTTTAAAAATCAAACAGATTTCTTCTCCCTCCTGAAAAATGTTGCTTTTTGGGCTTAAAACACCTAAACAGCTTGCCGACACTATCCAAGTACGTGAAGTGAAGAAATGAACTATGAAAGTGAACTGCTTCTTAGATTGTCTTCTATCTATCTCCAGTGTGAATGTACGTGTGGGTCAAGGTCAGCTGGTGGCGGTGGTGGGTGCTGTTGGGTCCGGCAAGTCTTCACTTCTGTCTGCCTTCCTTGGGGAGATGGAGAGACTGAGAGGAAGAGCAGGAGTTAAGGTGAGTGCTGTAAAACTCTTACTAAACTTAGTAAAAGGTGAGTGCCGGCACAGATAGTTTGTTTTTTCCCTTTTGGTGGGAACAGTGGTCCCTTCAGGTTTTTGCTGCCAGGCAGGGGGTTGGAGATTGCCATTTATAGGTCCTACCAAAGGGGTTATACTAGAGTCTGTAGCAGTGATGTCTCCCATAGAAATGTACAGGGGGTGCATGTGCCCGCTCTGGGATGCTGAACCTCAAGAGCAAGACATGACTAGTTCAACAGACAGGTGAGTACTTTTCAAGACTCACTTGGAGGAATCTTGGGTTTTAGGAGGAAATCTACAAACATGCTCTGAAATATGGGGGCAGGGTGGTGTTTAATTTACTAGAGCTCGTGGAAAGTGGGATGGGGACACAGATTGCTCATGTAAATGGGGGCATGCCGACCATACCCTTGAGGGTAAGAAGGCCCCCGTGTCTGACACGTGTGACGTCACTGCTGTGAGCTCTAGTATTATATATAACCTCTTTGGGTGCTACTTCTAACATTTCCCTGTGTTGTTTCCATCTATCTGTCTAACTTATTCCGTGTTCTAAATTAGTTATTAAGTCGATGCGGTTTTCTTCACTTAAAACAACTTCTTTCTGTTTTCGGACCAGTTTTGAGTTTGGCCGATTCATTCTTCTAAATAATTCACATATGAGGAGCTCTTCCCTTGTTTGTGCGACATGAAACCTGATGTTTTTGTTTTTGCACCTATTTCAACTTGCCAAATCTCTGATTAGAAGATTAATTAAGAAGATATTTGACATTTCTTTGATATGTATATATTATATTGTGTAAGCTTCAAGTCATTTTTCGCTGGCAGATATATGCGCTGCCCACCCACACAACCTCCTGCTCAAAAAGCTAGGAGTATGTACCTGCCTTAGCTAGCTGTGCACGTGTACCTGTGAGGAACAGTAACGATTGAATGGAAATGAAGCTATGGCCTCTTATGCTTCCTTTTATGAGATGATGCAGGATACCTATACTTAAGTCAGAACAAATGTTGAGACAAATTAAATTACTATTGTCATTATGTCACTGGTAGTGTCATGAACTTAATGTAAGAAGGGTTGATCCCAAGTTTTAGAGGTTGGAGATGATCATTCAGCTGATGATATCTATGTTAAATAAATAGAGTCAGTGCTTCCTAAAGGTCTATTCCATCCCATAAGATCATTAGATGGTGACGGTGATTCGAGGGTGGCTCTGTTAAATCCTACTTCAATTCTTTTCCTCTGTTTTTCTGTCTGATTGTTTTTTTCCCCCTGTAAAATGATGGTAAATAATGTCAATTATTATTCTCTTTATTCAAACCACAACCAAACCAAGCATTGGCAAGTTCATCAGTGCTGTGGTCTATCTTTCCACCCTCAGGGCACAGTGGCATACGTCCCCCAACAGGCATGGATACAGAACCTGACTCTGAGGGACAACATTCTGTTTGAGAAGCCCATGAATCAAGCCTGGTACAAAAAATGCATCCAAGCTTGTGCCCTGGGACCGGACATTGAGCTGTTGCCTGGCGGGGAAATGACTGAGATTGGGGAGAAGGTCAGGGTCATGTGTTTTTGTGTTTGTTTTCGACATAAAATAAGTCATTGGTCAGCAGTATTTAACCCAGACATTGCTATCATTTTTTAAATTTAAGATATCAGCTGCTGTGAGTGTCCAACATAATATGTCCACCCTGGTGGGTTGTGTGGTAGCTAATATTCCTGCTGTGTCTCTTGCAAGAGATGTAACCCGTATTAGGGTAAAGAAAAAAGTCATTCTCTCAAAAATGTGTGCTTATGTGTACATGTATGATATTTGCTTTGATATTTTGTCTCTGTCTCCTTCCCTTGCTTCTGTCTTTTTTATTCTATTCTGAGAGCCAAGTGCTCTGCCTTCGAAGTGATCTCCTTTTTTGTTTGTTTAATAGGGATATATTTTCATAAGAACACAAAACAAAGGCATCATGGATAATACTTTTAAAAATTTTCTTACTTAGTTAGAAGTAGTATTTGTCTTGCTGTTTGTTTGTGTTCACACAATTGAGCATTCACCGTATTTACCATCAGACATAATCTTGTTGCTGTGCTTTCTGAAGCTTCTTCAATTTCTTCACACAAAAGATGTTAATTGAACTACTTGTAGTTACATTAAGGCTTTCGGAGCAGTTTATAGAGAGCTTCTGTTAAGTCATATTTCTTCACCATCTCTCTGGTGTTCCTGTCGGCAACGTAACTGCTGTTGTGGTAATGTGTGTCACCATAACTAGAATTTGTGGAAGGTAGGAGGGTACCACTGATAAAGCCTACCTCTTTTCTTTTCCTTTATTGTTTCTGTCAGTCTTTTTTGCGTTTTTCCCCAGCTCTAAGTGACTGCTATCGTGACAACATGCTTCACTTTAATCAGAGTTTCCATCTACGGTCCAAATTGTCAAGGAGGACCACTTATTGTTGAGGAGAAAGGTGGTTATCTTAGACGAGTGGACGTCCTAGACAGTGTCAGTATAATGCAGAAAAAATCCGGGGGGAGGGGGGGAGCAAGAATCAGTCATTTGCACAGGTGATTGTCTTGGACAGGTGGCCATTAGAACAGGTTTGACTGTATCCACATTGGTTTTTTCCAGCTGAATGACTGTTGTTGCATTGATGTACATCTTGTTAACACAAACTCTGACTCCAACCTCAGGGCATCAATCTGTCCGGCGGTCAGAAGCAGAGGATCAGCCTGACCCGTGCCGTGTACCAGCAGTCTGACGTCTATCTGCTGGACGACCCGCTCAGCGCCGTGGACGCTCACGTGGGGAAGCACATCTTTGATAACGTTATAGGACCTCAGGGTGTGCTCAAGAACAAGGTGAGAACCCATGTTGTCAGTGTGTATGTCCTCATAGTAGGCAGTGGAGTCTGTTTAACACCTACGGGACCGGCCCTACACTTGGCTTTCTCTTCCCCAGGACCGGAGCCGCCGCCCACTAACTGACTTCTTGTCATATGTGTTACTAAAATATGAATATCTCAGCTCCTATTATAGCTATAGGCTTGACACTTCATCAAAGTGTCCTAAACATGTTCCTCTATATTATCACACTTTGTTTTTTAAAAAAGAAATTTTTTTGGTTCATTTACGTGTAATCAATTATGTAATAGTTAGCACAACAGAGAAAATACAGGAACAAAATCAAAAAAGACATCAATATAGACTTCAAACTTGATTTTCACTCACCAATTGAAGCAGCAGATAATTTTATATTCCAAGAATGAAAGCAGGTAAGTCCAGGTAAATCCAGAAAAATACTACTGTATTCCAAGTCCACGTAAGAAAAAAATATACTCCCAAGACGAGATGAAAAGCACTGAAGATTGCCACACTTATTTCCAAGCACCAATGAATAATGCACACCAACATACAAAAAAGAATTACAAATTACAACACTGGAGAAAAAAGAATTACAACACTGAAGGAAAAAAAAACTTTTTGCACGAGGTCCTAGCCTATTCGGCTTGGTAATAGCGTCGAACCTGACCCGCATAATCCTGGTTGGTGTGATAAAATTCAAAACACGGCTCAATACAGAGAGGCACTTTGCTGCTGCAACAAACACATCGTCGGGTTGGCCGGAGCTTCTTTTCAGTAGTAGGAATACTTTCTGGGAAGTGGGGATTGCTCTTGTGACTGAGACGCTCGACTGTAGTTGGCGGTGGGGGCTGTGTTTGCTTTTCAGCCACATCAGCAAGGAGACCGCTAACGAGGTGCATCGTAAAGTCTCGTAAGCTGAAGGGAGAGTCCGCTGTCGTTGATTTTCGGTACAGGATGTGTGCCTGAATACGGGCAAGGTGAATCAGATGTGTGGTCGCACGTTTCCACCATTTGAGGGTTTTACGATTGAAGCTGTAAAATGACAGATACATATCGATTTGATCTACGCCTTTCATAAATCTGTTGTACTGGTGTACAATATTAGGCTTGTGGATGGGTTCATCTGTCCTTTTGTCCCTTCTACCAGTGTCCACTACCCTGCCATCATGAATGGTGGACAAGAGCATGACGTCCTTTCTGTCTTGGTACCTGACAGCAACAATACCTTCTTTTTCCCGCTCAACCACATCACCTTTCTGAAGCCTCAGTTCTTTCTTAGTTATGTGTTTGGGGAGCCCTCTCCTGTCCTGCCTTACAGTCCCACAGGCTGTTGTCTGCATTGACAGGAGGTCCGAAAAGAGTTGATGGGTAGAAAAATAAGAGTCCATATACACAGTATGACCAACACCCTGGTATTGTTCAGTCACGTCTCGTACAATCTGTTCTCCGTGTCCTCGCTCTGGTCCAGTTGTGTTTGCCCCTGTGTAGAACTTCATATTGAGGACATAACCTGACGACGATTCACAACAGAAGTATAGTTTCATGCCGTAGCGAATAGGCTTGGACGGAAGATATTGGCGAAAGTCAACTCGACCACGAAATGGCATCATGCTCTCATCCACGCCAGTTGTTGTTCGGGATAATATAGATCAGCAAAGCGTTTGTTGAGGTGGTAAAAAAAGGGGCGAATTTTGTTTAGTTTGTCATGCTCTGGGTGACCTCTTGGGGGTTGTCTTTCATTATCGACAAGGTGGAAGAAAGCCAAAAGGGAAAGGAAGCGGTTGCGGGCCATTGTCTGTTGATGAAAAAAAAATTAACGATGTGATCAGTCGCAGTTATAGAAAATTTTATACTTACCAATTTTTTTATTTCTGAAAAACAAAACACGAGTTATAATAAAAAGCAATTATACATAGAGTCTTACATTTGTACATTTATAAGGCGTGTAGCCTATTTCATGTAATCACTTTATATACAGTATTATGAATGATATGTCAATGTGAGCATTCTGGTTGTTACATGAAGTGCTCATAAAACAAATTATGATGGATCCTATTACAACATTTTACAAGTAATTTACTGAATGAGTAGAACCAGATCTAATCCTTTATTATTATAGCTAGATCTAGATCTAGAAAGCAAGAAAAGATTTATAAATATGTAAATCAATGTAAAAATTAGATCTAGATCTAGGGGTACAAACTAGATACGGGTAGATTTAGGCCTACTTACCTTTGAGAAAAATGGGGTCTCGATGATTGGGTTTGTCGACCAATAGCATTTCACATCTGACTTGTCTACCAGACCCATTACAAACATCAGGGCAACCATGGTTTTTATGTCTGAGGCTGTAGCTGGTTTCCAGTCTTTGAGGTGATAATAGCCTGGTTTCACAGCACGTACTTGTTCTGCATATCTGTTAGTTTCATTTGCCCAATCTAAGAACATGGCATCATCGATGAAGGCATTGAAAAAGACTAAAACATCGGTTGGACTACTTGGTGTGAATGTCTCCAATACTTCACTGTGTTTTGTGAAGGCAGGCACATTGTCAAGATTTCCACTAACTTCTTTCCAGCCATCAACATCACTAACATTAGCACTGTTGTTGACATTGGCTCTACCAGTGCCACGCCCACCTCTTGCACGCCTAGCTCTACCTCTACTACAAGAACCTCTCTCAGCTCTCTGTACACCTCTGGCACCTCTAGTTGTATGTCTACCTCGGCCTCAATCAGCGATAATTGGTACCTCATCTATATCAACACTTTCTTCTTGATCAGAAGGCTCCTGGTCTGATGAACTAGTGCTACTATCTGATTCTACTGCTTCTTCATCGCTGTCTGCGTCCATACAGATTGCTTCAAGCACCTCCCTTTCAGATAGATATCTTTTAGAAGTCATTGTGTCAATTCTATCAAAGCTTCGCTTTCGAATTTGCCACAAAAAGGAAGCTCAATATCTAAACGGAAGTGACTAACGGGTTTTCAAAAATATGGATATGTTTGGAGAAACATGGGCTGGCTTTTGTTTAGAGTATTTCACTCGCGAGTATTCTCGTCCGCGGTCCTGGGGAAGCAGTCGCGCTTCGCGAGTATACTCGTCCGCGGTCCCGTAGGCGTTAAACTGAACATGGTTACTCCGAAAACAACGGTAAACCAAAAGAAAATAGAATACCCAATTTTTTTTCTTTGACCATTCAAGCAATCTCTGGCATATCGAAGAAAATCTAGCGGTCCCGCAGACTTGACTTGTTGCATCTGTAAGTGTTTGTAAGTAAGTGTTTATTCAGTGTTTAAGGCCATTGGCCCACATCACATAAAACATATTCTACAGAAGAGACTTTCGTGGCAACAGCATAAATCATAAATGACAATCATATCAACAACATTTTAAGTTCATGTTGTGTTATTACATAAGTTTCCATAATAAAATACTACAGGTTGTGTACATACTTCTTTTCATGGGTCGGAACATTGCATATTTCTGTCACTGGGCCAAGTCAGGCTGGAGGGGATTAACTACTTCTTTTAATGTGCAAAATTTGAACAATAGAAACTTAAGTAAAATTTATCTTCAATTTCATGAGGGGGGTTGCACCTCTCACATAAAGGTGAATTTATTCATTGCTGCATCTGATGTGTAATGGATAGGATTTTTTTCCCTGCCTTCGTTGGACATAAGTTCAGTTCCCCCCATTGAGGATGATGTTTCAATGGGTGTCTCTGTGTTTGTTCTGGGATTATATCTCACATGGCTTAAGCTGACTCGGACAGGCTGCATCGATGTGAAACCCTCCTCCTAAATGATCTAAATTGTATCGATGTAGGCATGACATATTTGAAAACATTACCAAAAGGTGAAATATTTTATATATTTCAAACCATGACACTTTTGTTATTACAAAAAAGTAAAACATTGACGACAGTGGCACACCAAATTGAAACAGTAACAACAACAGTTGCAAAAAGTGAGACAGTTGAAACAAATTGAAACAGTCAAAATAATTGCCCAAAAGTGAAACAGTTACAACAATTACAAAAAGTGGAATATTACTATGATCGTTGAAAATTGAAGTGTTTACAACAATTGCTTTAAAAAATAAGTTGGAAAAGCAAAGGGGAACTGCATAATTGCCCACAAAAATGAAACAATTTGCAAAAAAACGAAGCAGTTACAGATATTACAAAAAAGTAGAAATGTAGAGTTGACCTTGTGTTCTCCTGTGTCCAGACTCGTTTACTGGTGAGCCACGGCCTGCACTGGCTGCCTCGGGTGGACTCCATCATTGTGCTGGACGACGGATGTGTCACCGAGACAGGAAGCTTTGATCAGCTGATGGACCACGACGGGCCGTTTGCTCAGTTCATCCGGACCTACCTCCTGGAACATCAGGGGGAGGAGATTGATGACCCTGAGGGTAAGTCCTCGTTAATGCCAATGCCCTCGATTCGAAATGCAAGTATAAAACAAATCTATGTTCTCTTTTCTCATTGACTGACGATATTTTTTTCTCATTTTAATAGTGGGCTGTGGGTGGTTGGTGGCTTCTCTGGTGTGGTTTGCTCTTTCTTTCTTTTGAAATGTCTGTTGTCATCTCTCCCTTTTTTGTTTGTGACTCACTCTAAGCTTTGACAGTTATACGACCTAATTGTGTTGCAAATGCAGTAAAATGCTTTCTGAAACAAACAAAAACAAAAATGATAGAAGACTGTGTTATGTAAAATGTTTGAAAAGATGTTCTCCATTTTAATGAGTTAAGCTTGTTGTATTTTTACTCTTTTGATCTGGACCCTTTGGTATACTAGAAATTTTGAATTTGATTATTGTAAATATCTCTCATCTTTCCACATTCTGTTCATTTCAAATGTATCAAGGTTTTCTTTCTTTTTTTTTTTTTTCAGAACTTATGGTAAGAGAAAAAATTCTGGACAAAGTGGAGGCCATTACATCAGATGACGAACAAGGCCAAATTTCTCTTCGAAGGTCAGATATTATCTTTACTTGTAAACTCACTGCTAGTTAGATATTGGTCTTCTCTCTTTGTGTCTTTCTTTTATTGTCCTCTTTCTTTTACAGCTTTCTGTCTTTCCCACATTTTTTCCCCTTCTGTTTCCTCTTCTTTTAAAAAACTTTTCTCTCTTTTCCCTTCTCTTCTTTTTTTTCTCTGTCTACTGTTACTTAAAAGAACTTTCTGTCTCTCTTAGTTTCTTTCAGTGCTTCTCACATACTCTTTATTTTTTTTGTCTCTCATTTGAGATGGGTTTTGTTTGATTCATTTGCTTTCTGCCTGGATACTTTGCTTGCTTTATTTTCTTGGGATGTAAATCTTGTAAGCATGGCATTGATACAATTAAGGCCTGTGTTTGGTTGGTGCTCAGGTGTGGTTTGCTCCTTTTTTCCTATAGTACATGTATCATCGTTATTTCTCCTCCCTCTTTTCTTTGTTTGATAATCTCTAGTAGTAATATCTCTAATCTTCTTGTATGATGTAATTGTGTTGCAAGTGCTGTAATACTCTTTTCTAAGACTATTCTAAAATGACATGATTTAGGTCGTCTAGGAGACCAGCTGCTTTGAACCTGCCTATCAAGGCCAATGCAGGGCTGAAAGGGATACAGTATCCCAGCAGCAAGATGAAGATACTTAATAAGACAGATTTTTTCGCTTGGGAATCGGAGAAACGTCTTTTGTATGCAACAACGAAGGGCCTAACTGTGTCACCACGGGTGCTGATCTGATTTGTTTTCTTTGCTGTTATCCCATTTAAGATGTGGACCAAGAGACTTGAGTGGCCGCTAACAATGTTCAGCCAAATGCTAATATCTACTAATGTGTCTGTAAACCCAGGCCTCTTAACGTTTCCCTTAACGTGGTACCTCTTCTTGTAACAGCTCTACTTTGCATCATGGATTCAATAAATTATGTAATTATGTGTCGTTCATATAAAAATGGTCTCTCTATTGAGACCTTTTTCGTGCTGACTTGATGGGAGGTCAGAGTGTACCACTGGTTTGTTCTCCCCCCCCCCCCCCCTCGTCATTTTTTTTCCCCACCACTAAGTGCTGCGTATGATGCCAGTGTGCTTCTCGTTACTCAAACTCTGGATGCAGTTGGTTGGCTGGTGCTCTGATGTGCTTTGCTCCTTCTTTCCTTTCAAGCACCTATCATTCTTATGCCTCATCTCTCCTTCTTTTTTTGTATTTGTTACTCTCCTGTAATCATCGGCAGTAATGTGACCATACTCTGTTACTAGTGCTGCAAAACGTTTACTAAAACAAAACAAACTTTGGATGTATTCCCTGCAATTACAAGTGCTGTTTTATTGTTTTCCTGTCTTTCAGATCTGTGTCAGTGCTCAGCGATACTGTCAAGTCGAACAAAACTGCCTCCACGGAAAGCCTGAACAAACCTAACGAAGCCTCCAGATCAGCTGCTGAAGTCTCTGGCAAACGTGATCAAGCTGGTCGTCAGCTCATCAAAGAGGAACGGCAGGAGAGGGGAAAAGTAAGGCTTTAGGTGTTGAGTGTAACATTATCTCATTGATGAAAAGAGGAGAGCACAGGAAAAAGTATTTCTTTTTGGCATTACTCAAACTATGCACATGAATATTCTGGAAGAATATGCTGTCAAACTTGCTCTAATGGCCACCTGCTCAAGAAAATCAGCTGTACAAATGTCCTTTTTTTTTTTCTTCCTTTCATTTTTTTTTGGGGGGTGTTTTACGGCGCTCGTAACTCCATAAGGTCATATGAGCGCACGGAACACATTAAACTTTTTCAGTTTGTAGGAAGTTTTGAATTTTGTCCGGGTGGCGGCCGAAGCCTACTCTTATCGATTTTTGACCACCAAGGGTTCTCCGAGATTTTTCACAATTGGACAATTTCAGTTGTATTATATTAATTAGGGCATGAAAGGTATTGAGCTATTAAACAAAAGATCGATAAAAATTCACGAACCTGGGGGAAAATACCGGTTTCATCATTTTGATTATTTTGACGAGTGCCTGATTTCACCATGTTGCCTTGCAATTGTCAAAGAGTGTCAACAAGGTTCTGGCTTAGTTGAACTCTTGCATGGTATGACCTGTATGGTAAGACTAAACGACTGCAGGAACCTTTCCTTCAACTTATGAATAGACTTTGAAAATGAATATTTTCTATAAAGTTGTTCATTGAGCAGATGTTAAAGCAAAAACCACCAAGGCAAGGTCAGCATTCAATCATTTATCAAAAGTTTGGAAAGCAAGCAACATCTCACTGCACACCAAGATTCAACTCTTTAACTCCAACGTCAAATCTGTGCTCCTCTATGGCTGCGAAACTTGAAAGACAACAAAGACAGTACTGAAAAAAGTCCAGACTTTCATCAACAGATGTATGAGGAGTATTCTAAGAATTTAGTGGCAGAATAGAATAAGAAATAAGGAGCTGTGGGAAAGGACAGGACGAAAAGATATAGAAGTAGAAATAGGACTAAGAAAGTGGCGATGGATGGGACACACCTTAAGAAAGCCCAGCGGAAACATCACAAGACAGTCACTGCAGTGGAACCCACAAGGAGCCCGAGGCAGGGGTAGACCACGGGAATCATGGAAAGAGATGAAGCTCACTTGGAACGATCTTGGAAGGATGGCCCAGGACAGAGATAAGTGGAAGGAGCTTGTATGTGGCCTATACCCTGCAAGGGGTGAAAGGCATTGATGATGATGATGTTCATTGTGGAGAAATGCAATATGTCAGTGACGGATTGAACTTGGTGTCGAGTTTTCTTTTTTACTAATTGTAGTATCACCAATTGTACTTGCTGTTGAAAATAATATATTTTGAGACAGAAAAACAGGTTTGACATAATTTAGTGAACATGGTTAGAGGTGGACTGCGACGAATTGCTTTATCATTAGTAGTATGAAATGCAAGGGACACTCCTACCTGTCGCCATATCTGGTCTCACTATTCCATTTTCCTTTTTTCCTCAGGTACGTCTGTCTGTGTTCATCGCCATACTTAAGGCATTTGGTTATTTACCAGCATCAACCATCCCTTTTTTTCTGGTGGTCTTCATCGGCTTCAATGTGGGCACTGGCATCTGGCTTTCTAAGTGGACGGATGATCCTTACCTGCGCAACGAGACAAATGTTGGCACAGCTCGTTACATGGATGACACATACTACTACCTCGGCCTCTATATCTTCTTTAGTCTTATGCAAAGTAGGCATTCATTTTTTCTCTCTATCACTATGTAAGTTTATCAGTCTGTCTTTGTGTGTCTTGTTGTGTCTTTTTTCTCAGATCTTGCTTGAGTGTGCTTATATCAATGTAGCCTATTTACACATTTGTTTATGTTTGTGGTTGTATTTCTGCACCGTGTCTTTATTTCCTCTCCCGTCCTGGTGAGTAATTCTGGCACTGTGCAGCCTACATAGTAGGTTTTGCAACAGATTTAAAGTTTTTATTTTCAATCCCTTTAACTATTTCTCTCTCCCTCTCTCCCTCTCTGTCTCTGTCTCTGTCTGTCTCTCTCTCTCTCTCTCTCTCTCTCTCTCCC